TATGCACGTATATTCTCGCAGACGGAAAATTCTATTTAAGAACCCCTCCGACAAGTCTAGTGCGCTCCAAGTAATTAAAAATAACGAAAGGGTGTTCGAATGTGTTCTACATAATTACCTGTCTCTTACTTAGAGTGCGCTACGTATTCATCGAACTTCAATTTTATTTCCTCGCCTGTTGCATATTTTACTCTTGTACTTCCACCATTTTATTTTGGTAGCCATTTTATATGTAACATTTTTGTATTATCTGTTTGGGAGTATTGCTATTCATGTATGAAATGATTAATTTATTTTATGATTCAGTTTAGAATTGTGAAACATAACCTAACTTTTTAACATAACCTACTATGGCCGCCATTGCATGACGGGCTTAAGTTAGATTAAAATTGTAAAATATTAAACACATCAAAATAATGATATGCTTAAAATAATAAATGAGTAGACCTTCTTCATTAATATAATAAGTGAGGACTAATAAATGAATTTACCCTCAACTGAGTAGATTAAAAACTTGGTGTAGAACAGAACAAAGGAAGAAGCGTTTAACACAGTGCAATTACAACTTAGTGCATAAGTTTGTTAAAAAGTAGAATCGCGATAATATCACAATCGAAGAGTCGGCACGATCGATTTCCGATCATTATTAATTATCAGAGTTAATGATCTGGCTGATTGGAGTGAACCGTCTCGAGGATCTCGTTAGTCTCGCCCCGACTGTTATATTCGATATAGATATTTGTTCATTTCTCCTGTCCTGTTAGTCGCGCCAGTTTCATCGACTGTTCGTTCCTCCTGATCGTTAATTAAATAAATTCACCGCTAATTGTATTCGGGCTTTTCATTACCCACCTACCTACCCGATCGTTACCGATTCACCGCAGAGTCCTGAGGCAACCCGTGTCTCCCAGGTCTTCCAGCTTCCATTCGCTTCCAGCCTCGTCTTTCACGATCGACATTAAAAATTTACACCTTCATGCATTTTACTCGTCTCTATCAGCCCTGGTAATTAATTGCTCTCGATGCTAATACCTCGATGAAGTCGTGTTATTACGGGTCTCTCGAGGACCTTCAGACGCGTTATCTTTTTACTCTCATGGTCAGCCATGTGCATATTAATATTACAGTGAAAATATATGTACTTACTATGAAACGTTAACAGGTAATTTTAAGCAGAAGAATGATAAATTCTTACGAAATCTGTTGTAAATGTCAAGGTCATAAAGGAACTATGGTTCATGACAAAAAAATAAATTAAATATGTAGTACACTGACATTAACCCGACAACAAGTAACATTCTAACCGAATTTAACAACCTATCAAAAACTTAAAGTGACCAGCATCCTCAGTATCCCAAAGAAGTAAAATTTCTCAAAGCACCGAAATTTTTAACCAAAAGGAAATACAGCTCCTAACCTCCACAGAAAGCCTCCCCTAACCGAACCGTTTGCAGGGGAAGTTATTCTTGGCCTAGGTACGTGGCGAATTAAATGTTAAAAGGAAATACGTCGGCCGAAACGTGGATCCGAGATTAAAACTGAAACGTTGACTGCGACTACTGTCGGCCTTATATCGCGCGTACTCGCGCCGGACAGAGAATATTTGGCCGTGATAATACGTTCAAAAGAGAGGCAGGAAGTCGGCTCAAGTCGGTGTCCTAAAAGCTGCAGCGGTATCATGGCGAAATAAGAGGACTGACGACGAAGAAATGTAAATGTAAATATTAATACAGAGAGTCCGGATAACGTATAGTGGCTAAGAGCCGAAGGGAGCCACTTCCAGAAGCTTCCTCCGGGAATCTTCCTTCCCTCGACTCTTTCGTCCGTTCAAATATTTAATGGATTTGCCTGTATCCACTCGCCCGGCTTTATATACGTATTCGTGCAATTTTGCTGAATGCGCACCACGATTTTACTGTAGCTTCATTTGTATGATTTTGCGAGCGTGAAGCAGCCTTCTTTTTTACGAGTGAAGGAACAATTTGGAGAAAGTGATTGTGGGGGGTGAGGGTGTTATTTGGAGGACGTTTATTTTTTTGGAGTTGTGGAAGGGTTGGATTGTTATGTTGGGGTGAGTTCTTTGGAGGACACTTTTATATTGTGAGCATTCTTGGAGCACTTTTGGAGGAATCAGAGTAGTTATGTTGTTGGAGGATTTATACAGGTTAGGTGTAGAACGTTCTTATAGCATTCGTGAAGTGTTCATGAAAATATCAGTCAATATCTGTTATTTAGATTTCAGGAAACTCCATATTGATGACACTCAAATATTCATATTATATTTGACGATATTACTGTTCCTTTAAAAAATTATTGCTCTTCTTCCCTTTTGTATTATCTCATTATAAAGAATAAATGAATAACTGCATAATGTAATTCAAATTGGAAATCATTTAAAAAATTTAATATTACTATCCTATTTCTTGATGAACACATATGATCACACATGTCTGAAAAGACAATTACAACAGTGTGCTATTATGAAATGTCAGATATGAAGTACCAAATAATTCGAACAAAATAACCAACATAAAAAAAATGATAATTATAAATTATAACGGTTAAAAAAAAAGCTGAAATATTCTGATGAAATTGAAAGTGTCAGCTCTCACTTTTTTAATCTCGTTTTCTTTTGTTCTGGAATTGTATCGAGGATTCGATCGAAGAACGCAGCGCTGCCTGAAAATGGTAGAATTTAATTAAAGATCTTTTCTCTCTCTAGTCATTAAATTCCTTCCTCTCCTCGTCGCTGTTTCGCTTTTCTCTTCGCCTTTCGTTCACACGCTTTGCTACACAAATGCACGAGTACCATGCACAGTTTGCAACTAGGATTCACGATTTGATCTTCGACGGTTTAACTTTCATGGTGTAGCTGCGTTCCCGGCCCGACGAAACGGGACTTTAATTATACCACGGGGTTAATTAATTCCGTCAAATCCTGCGAACCGCGCTCTGGTATCCTCTTTGCTTTTTCCCCTTTTCTGTTCATCCTACCGAGCCACGAAATTTATCCTCCAATGAAATATATCCGTGAAAAATATCGTCATGGCTTCTCTTCTACGGCCATATAACAGCCACCATAACTTTCTTTTTCCCTTTCGCGCAATCTTACGCTAACAATAAATCTTCTCGTTCTTTTATTTATCAAACTTTTTAAATACCTACGTTCGCGACTCGTCTCAGAAAAAACGGCGGAAGATGCTCGACCTTTGTTAAGCTGCGGAAATTGAATTTTTATTGATAGCATATCGAAAATATAATTTTGTTCAGAATATAACAAAAGCATATTCTGTAAGATTTAGAAATTGCAATATAACAAAAGAATATTCAATAAGATTTAAAAATGGCAATATAATAAACGTATATTCAATAAGATTTAAAAATGGCAATGTAATAAAAGAATATTCAATAAGATTTGAAAATTGCAATATAATAAATGTATATTCAGTAAGATTGGAAAATGGCAATATAACAAAAGTATATTCTGTTAGATTTGAAAATGGCAACATATCAAAAATATATTCTGTAAAATTAATATTTGAATTTAAAATATGTATTATGAAAGCAAACATGACAGTGATAAAAATGAAAAAATAAAAACAGTAATTAGAGAGATTGAATTAAAAACGATAAAAATGTAAAATTTAATAATTGCCTAACAACTGTGAATTAATAGCATCAGTTTGGAAACGAATTTTCAGTAATTAAAACCGTAAATGTTCGGTAAATAAAATTCCCCGATAATTAGTCTCAATAATTGAAACGCGACCGATTAAGTAATTCATCCGACATGTTATACAATAAACGATCGTTATATCGTTATTTAATACATAACAATCGCGTTGTAATACAATGTAGTAGGATGTCGTTTTATGTACGAGATGAGTCGCGAATGTTAAATCGCTTTTAAATTAGAGTGTCTTCTTATTTATCCGAGCTGAGCTTAACACGTGTGCAGTGAGACGGAAGTTTAATTATAGGGGTGAAATTAATTAATTCCGTGAAATCTCGTGGAATACATTCGAAGTTGATCAGAACCGATCAGCAATTAATTAATGGTCAATCTGTTTTATCTTCGTTCGGTTCTATATCTTCGTTCAATTTTAATTTGTACAAAGAGCTACGTATCTGTTAATGAAAATCATTTGGGGATAAACAAATGTATTACCCTTTTCTAGTTATCTTAGTCAAAATTTTTTATGTAATAAATATTTTCTTCTTTTATATTTTTGAAATTTTTTTTGTGATTGGATAGGATTTAAAAGATTTTTTTGTGTGCAATAATTTCAGATTTCTGAGATTTCATAGATTTCTTATATTTTTCAAAGTTTCTAAATTTCTTAGATATTTAAAATTTTCTAAATTTCATAAATTAACAACTTTCTCATACCTTATCTTTCTCAAATTCTTAATTTTCTGTACTTTGAATTTTCCACCCCTTAAGTTCACAAATTCCTAAACACCCAAATTCACACATCCAAAAATTTCAAAATCCAACTGTTCCCACCTTCCCAAATTTCCCAGTTCCTAAATCCACAGATCCCCAAATCCCAAACTCCTGAATGTGCAAACAAGCAAATTTGTATATTATCGAATTGCCGAATCCGCATACAGGCCGATAGCGTGTGGTCATATTTCAAGGTTAAAAATTGATGAACCCTTAGTCCGAGTAATTACCAAAGGAAATTAAAAGAGATATATGCATATTACGTTCTGGTATCGGGTTCAGGATGAAGTATTGTTCCCTCCTCCCTTTCACCCTTTCGCAGCACAACCGCCATAGCGATGTTTCCCGATATTTCGACGATTCTCACGGTGGAGTTCGTACTGGCAGGTTATCCGAAGGTGTGATTTACACTTGCCGCGATTCGTGGTGCGTACGCACGTCGCGTTTCGTCGGCCGATTCGTATGAATATTCAGCGTCGCACCCCTAACGGTGCGCATGCGCGCAACATCGGCGCGACGAAATCCACCGAAGACCGTCAGTAGTGTTCCGACACCGACGTCGTCGAGATCGTTTCTCCGTTACCGAAATCTTCCCCGTGATCGCCATGTGACTTCCGTTCACCACACGACTCTCCACACACCCCATCACAATGCACTAAATCCATAACAATCTCTGCGTTCATGTAAACAATTTAAAAGCATCGATTTTTAATGTTATTTATAAGAAGATTCGAATTATTCGGTGAGACGTCACGTGGGTGAACGATGATTCTGAACGCGGGGGAAAGGAGAGCGTCGGTTGACACGGGGAAAATTCAGAGGACTGTCTCGTGGTTTTTATCGTTGTCACGTGGTTAGGGAAAAGTGGCGGGTTTACGCGCATGATTACAACGGTGCGTGATGTTGTTATGCGAGACAATGCGGTGGGGTGATGAATTGTGCGATCTGTTGAGATGCAGGCTGATGGTACTTCTGGTGCTGGTCGGATGCAGCGACGGATACTTGAACATCTTCATCAGCCAGTCCCAGGTTATGAAGCTGATGGGTAAGTTATTTTTAAATTTTAATCCAGTCTGGCTGTAATAAAGTGTACATAAAACTGTTACGTAAAAAACTATTTATTCAGAGCGCGGTTGTAATTTTCAAGTGAAAATGGTTAGGTACATGGTACATATACTTGTATGTACATATTAAGTATACACAGAAATTATTTATTTATGTTCTTTAGATAATTGTTAATTATTAATTATTTACCAGCATGGGATAAATAATTAAGACCTTTTTTGTTGAAATACACTATGAATCAAAAAATTAATATCGGGAGCGTAATTCAAATTATATACACATGGTGGTGGAAGCTTTTTGTAAATAATTATTATTATTATAATTAATAATACAGTGAATGTGTATGCAAGATTACGTTTTCTAAAACGTGAAAACAAAATGAATTACATACATGCTAAAAAATTGAATAAATTACTTATATTCTATAAGATATTTGAAATGTGAGGTTAATCCTCGAACGGCGGGAAATTTAAAATTCATTTAAGACACCCGTTCATTGTCCCTTCTTTTCTGATATTATTTGCAATATATAAGTAAGATTTTGCTAAAATTATGAGTGTTGCTAAAACCATTAATTGTAGTTGAAGTACTTTTGTAAATGTCACATGATTCTTGTAAAAATTGTTAACTAAAAATTACAATAACAGTGTTACAATTAAAAAACAATTTTTAAGTAAAAATTGTTCCCTACAATAAAAACTGTAATATTACTATTGCATTTTGTAATAAATATTTAATAAATGTCCAATCTAGTTCTACTTCTAACCCATAAGGAAACGAACAAATAAAAGTAGCATATTTCAGTGTCCTTTAAAGGTTAATGGCTTAAACTTTCGGCCATTATAAACTTTGGTCATATCATAAATGACCTTTCAAGTTAGTAATGAAGTTTGAAGTTTTTTATTGAAAGTTATACGCATTTTGCAAATAAAAGTTTTGCATTGAAAGAAGTAGTGACACAAATTTAATTAAGTGGACAAGATAAAAATCTTATGTATTATAAAATAACAGGTTTAATGTTTCAAAATTTCTGTTTTATCCATGATAGGACAAAATAGGTGAAAATCCTTTGAACAATCGGAAATGTCTCTCTGTTGAAAGTTTTGGTTTGTACAGAACCGTCGAGAGGTGATTCACCCGCATTGATCAACTATCTCGAACGAAACTTCCTTCGTCCGAGAAATTAGTTTCTATTAACTTTTCCTTCTCCTTGTCAAATTTAAGAACACACGAATCACTTAATTAGTAAGAGGTTATGGCTAACGTAATTATTATTTCAATTATAATTTAGAAATATGGGGTGCAATCAAGTTTTAAGCATCTAAGTTTTTTGTTCTTTTTATATTTCAACAAAAAATATTAATACTTATTTATAATTGTTAGAATCTTTGATATTAAACTTTAGAATGTAAGGAGAATTATTGAGGAGTCAGTAACATGTCATTAATGAGGTAGTCTCGCTATATGGCACTGTATAAGGTTGCAGGAGTGGAAAGAATTAAAATAGATCGCACCAGTGCAAATTCCTTCATTGAACTGATTTCTTATTTTGAAATAACAAAATTTTCAACTACCTCAAATGATAAATTTTACAACTTGAAAATGTTGAAGATTGTAAGTTTCAAAATCTGACAATTTGCAAATTAAAAAATTTCTGAGTCTACAAATATGACTTAAAAATTTGCAAATTCTGAAACTTGAAAATTTTCAAATTTGTCCAAGTATAAAAATATGAAAAAAAAAATAGTAAATAACTATTTTACAAAAACCACAGTGCAATCACTGAAACAAAAGAGATGAAGTTTGAGATGAATCGCAGTCAATTTTTTCAAAAGGAACTAAAATCTGTGAAGCTTCGTAATAAAAACTTAAAAGTACGTTCATGGAAGTAACATTTGAAAAATGCAAGAGTACAATCGATTTTTCGAAATATAACGACTGGAGTGACCCATTGAAATGGCCGGCGTAGCAAATTGCTGAGTAGGCTTGGACGATAAAATGAAATGGGTGTCGACGTATCGTAGACTTTTAATTAGTAACGTTGGCGTGATTGTGTATGACCAGTTAGTAACGAGTCACGACCGCGTAGTCGCGTCACCGTATAATTGTCGAATTAACAATGACCATGATGAACGAGGTTGAATTTAACAAGGCGCACCTGTGCTAATCATATTGATCTCCTCTCGTTTGTCGCTTTCAATGGAATATCAAATAGCGTCCCCAAAAAAAGGGAAAAAATTACGAAGGATTCGTCCCAACTAATATTGTACAGATTGTAATTAAATTGGAATTGGCACCGACGTCGTTTGCACGGCAAATAATTAGTAAATTAATAACTTTGTTTACGTATTCTGTTTGAGATACGGATGCGAATTTTACTTTGATGAATTGAACTTGGGTTATGCTTTTTATTGGTAGCTCTTGGGTTTTGGTGTGGTTAGGAATTTTTAAGATTTTCAGCTGTTGGAATTTTAGGTTTTGAGTTTTTTAAGTTTTGGAATTTTTTAATTTTTTAGTTTTCCATTTTTTAGGTTTTTAGGTTTCCAATTTTTCAAGTTTTTAATTTTACCAGTTTTCAATTTTTCAGGTCTTCAATTTTCCAAGTTTTCAATTTTTCAGGTTTTCAATTTTTCAATGTTTCAATTTCTCAATTTCTGAATTTTTCAATTTCTCAATTTCTCAATTTCTCAATTTCTCAATTTCTCAATTTCTCAATTTCTCAATTTCTCAATTTCTCAATTTCTCAATTTCTCAATTTCTCAATTTCTCAATTTCTCAATTTCTCAATTTCTCAATTTCTCAATTTCTCAATTTCTCAATTTCTCAATTTCTCAATTTCTCAATTTCTCAATTTCTCAATTTCTCAATTTCTCAATTTCTCAATTTCTCAATTTCTCAATTTCTCAATTTCTCAATTTCTCAATTTCTCAATTTCTCAATTTCTCAATTTCTCAATTTCTCAATTTCTCAATTTCTCAATTTCTCAATTTCTCAATTTCTCAATTTCTCAATTTCTCAATTTCTCAATTTCTCAATTTCTCAATTTCTCAATTTCTCAATTTCTCAATTTCTCAATTTCTCAATTTCTCAATTTCTCAATTTCTCAATTTCTCAATTTCTCAATTTCTCAATTTCTCAATTTCTCAATTTCTCAATTTCTCAATTTCTCAATTTCTCAATTTCTCAATTTCTCAATTTCTCAATTTCTCAATTTCTCAATTTCTCAATTTCTCAATTTCTCAATTTCTCAATTTCTCAATTTCTCAATTTCTCAATTTCTCAATTTCTCAATTTCTCAATTTCTCAATTTCTCAATTTCTCAATTTCTCAATTTCTCAATTTCTCAATTTCTCAATTTCTCAATTTCTCAATTTCTCAATTTCTCAATTTCTCAATTTCTCAATTTCTCAATTTCTCAATTTCTCAATTTCTCAATTTCTCAATTTCTCAATTTCTCAATTTCTCAATTTCTCAATTTCTCAATTTCTCAATTTCTCAATTTCTCAATTTCTCAATTTCTCAATTTCTCAATTTCTCAATTTCTCAATTTCTCAATTTCTCAATTTCTCAATTTTTCAATTTCTCAAATTTTGGAAACATCCTAAAAATTGCAATGGTTCCTCTTTATCATAAACGTATAACATCTAAAAGTCTCCAAAGCACATAAATTTTTAGGTTATGCAAAATCCAAATGAATCCACATCTCACAAAATGGCGACTACCCACGTGATACTCAAAGAACGCTCTAAAACTACCCCAAAACTATTCCATGAATATACTACAATATAATCTAGATAATTCAGATAATCTCCCTAAAAAAAAATAACAACACCCTAAAAATGACAACAACTTCATCATAAAAATAATCTAAAAGTCTGCAAAGCGCACACAAATTTTTAGGTTATAAACTCCGAACGATTGCACATAAAATGTCGACTAAATGATTGATTTAATTTATACACGATGTCCATGTAACGGTCATTACCACCGAAAACCATAGGAAATCGCATAGATATCCATCCGTAAGACCACTGACACCAGAAAACGAGCGGTGAAGCCATTCCAGCCGGCGTTACGCCGAGATTAGCTCGATTTTCGAAAAGTCACGAACGACCGTTCGCTCGTAAATACAGCTATTCCGCTTTTTTCTACTCTCTCCTTTTTTTCCCGCCAGCAGAAAACTGACGGATCCGAGTCGCGCGCACACACACATATACTGCCGGTTATGTACGGACAGACGGAAGCGTATGAATCATGGAACCGTAAAGTGATATCGAATGGAATAGAGACTAAGTACATATACGGGTGCGTAAACGACACTCCGTGTGCAGAGCTGTTGACCGTTAAAAATGGACTACCCGTTTCTGTCAGTTGACTTTGAAAGTGTGAGAAAAAGGTTCGAAATTGTGTGTTAAGGGAGGTCTACAAATTCAAATTTACTGCCAAAAGGAACTAGTTAGGTAGATAGGTAGATAGACTTTAGAGGGAGTAAAATTTAATGACTTCATGTGTGCCATAGAGGGTTGAAAGCTGAAGTTCTATCTCCTTTCATATGAGGTGAAGTCATATAATTTTTATTATAAAATTTCATGGTTATTTGTTAGTGTACAGTATTTAATTACTATGAGGTGTATCATATGTACTTGAGGATACAATAAAATATCTTTCATCAAACATCATATGTAGATTCTATGTATAGATCACATCATAATCATCACATGAATTATTTCTTAACCCATCGAAAACTTCAGTTCCACATCATCAACCCCAAAGACCCCCAAATTATGGTATTCATAAAAATCTATCGGAACAAAGGTAGTAAAGTTTGATACGTTCTCGACTATTATATCCTTCATTAACAGGTTTCCATCTCGCATTCATAATGAAACAAATGAGAGTCACTCGATCTATAGAATCCACCCCTTATCGAATAACAAAAGTGTAGGTTCGGCGTTAAAACGTGAAAGCTTGTGCTGTCAC